TGTTTTATTAGTTGTAAAACTTACGTTTTTATGGAAAAATGCAGACCAAGACTAGGCAGACATTCAAAGCAGACGACAATATAATGTAAATTGTATTAATGAAATTTTACATTTGTAACAGACGCTTTTAATATATTGGTATATAATTAGATTAACTTACCGATATCGCTCGCAAAATTGGGGTTTTCGTAACGTTTGATGCCATTTTCAAGATAGGCTATTAAAACTTGACCTCTGAAATTACCCTAAAGATGCAAATTGCAGAAAGAAATGTAAGAAAAGAGGTGGTGGTGGTGAAGAGAAGAGGAAAGAAGGGAAAAAATTACATCATAGAGAGTAGAGTAGAGACAGTGAAGATTTGAAACTAACAACCAAACCTTTGGATATCCCCGCCGCAGCAAACCTGCCGACTAAGGGAATTTCCATTTGTCTGAATTGATTTTCTTTAAGTCTAAGTCTATTTAAATAACATTAGGTTTAACGTGTACCTAGGTTTGCTGCTACAAGGTAACTTATAAAGTGTGTTTTTTTTAGTAATAGCTTAGTAGACCTATAAAATAAATAAATTTGGTTTGATCAAAATATATGCATAACCAAACAAACTACAACATTTTACAATATTCTCTTTAAGAATAACATGGGAATTTTTAATTTACATTTTTTGTAATTTTTCCATTACGAATAATTGCACAAAAACACTTTGATATACTAAATTATTTGTTTTTTAAGGCTCTACAGAGAAATTGGGAAATTTTGTGTTTGGAGGGTCGAAAATAAGAAATACCCCTACCACAGCAGACCTGCAGACTAAGTGAATTTAAACTTGTCTGTAAGACATAATTCCCAATTTAAATAACATAAGATTTAACGAGTGCTTAGGTTTGCTGCTACGGGGTAAACTACAACAGTGTTTTAATTTTTTCCATAAGAATAACATGGAAATTTTAAAATACACTATTTTTGAATTTTCTCCGCGACCGTTAGGCATACAACAGCGCTTCAATAAACAAAATTATTTCTTTTTTCTCTACAAAACGGGTTGAAAAGATATTGAAAATGTTTTTTTTTAGGTCAAAAATGGGATAACCCCATTTTTACCCCATAAAACCCCCCATAAACCCACGTTCCCATGGTACGATTATGCTGGTTCGCGAACTCGTTCGAATATACGTAGGTTTACACATTTGTACCAAATTTCATCGAAATCGGATCACTTTTGCTCGAGTTATCGCACTAACGGACACACACACACATATATATTTATATGTATATGTATAATAAATATATGAATTTGAACGAATGGCGTTTTTGGCCTCTAGGGACCTCAAAACGAAAAATTAAATAGGTCCCGGGTCCAAGTCTTACAATGAGTACTACGGTAATAGCTTATTTCCTATACGGGAAACTCGCTAAAACATATTTTTTCCCTATAAGACCCCGTTCCCATGTCCCGATCATGCTAGTTCGTGAACTTATACAATTTTACATCAAATAACCTTATTTGAACAAAATTTCATCAAAATCTGAAAACATACTCAAGTTACTCATGGATATAATACCTTTGGTAGAACGGGAAATGAAACCAACCAGCCTGTTAGCCTTGCTGACTATTGAGTTTATATACTCGTCGAAACTCAGATCGCTGCTGAATATCACCCCCAAATCTTTTGTGGACGTGACTCTAGGAATACTGTCCTCTCCGAGCATGTACATGAAGATGTCTGGATTCCTGGAACGATGGAAGGTCGATATTAAGATCATTTTCCAGGATTGATTTCCAACTTGTTGACTTTGCACCAGGCAAAGACACTGTCAAGGTATATTTGTAGGCGTTTTGAGTCCTCTTCCGTCTTAGGCTACGGCCACACGGGCGTTTTTTCACGCGGTAAAATGTAGCTTATTTTCACGCTGCTTGAATTCCTGCTTGTATGCCACACGTGCGTTTTTTCACGCAGTAAAATGTAGCTTATTTTCACGCTAGTTGAAGTCCAGGAACGGGAAAATGCACTCGGAACCCGCAGTTGATTGACGAATTCACGTAATTATGTTGTATATCTTCCTAATGACCGAAATAGTAACCTTGTTTCTGACTAGTGAACAAGAAATATGAATGGTAATGTTGGTACATTAAAATTATTTTATTTTGTTAACCTTTCATTTAATTATTTACATTTAGTATAGAAAAATAAATATAATACAAATATTTTTATGACAAGATTTTCATCAGATCTTTGTATATTCTACTACATAAATGCCATTTTACATTTTTTAGTCCAACCAAACGCCTTTCCTTTTAGCAGTGGCGGTTCTAGGACCTTGTAAAGGGGGGGGCTACCGGGGGGCTTGGGGGGTGTGGAGCAGCCACCAATAAGGCAGGGGGGTGCGGGGGTCCCCCCGGGAAAATTTTGAATTTTCAAAGCCATTTGGTGACTTTCTAAAGCCATTTTTAACACCTTAAACCATGCCCAATTGTCCATAAACTCCCACTTCGGGTGACCCAACGGCTTTTAGGAGGATATGGCCGTAGTCTACAGTGTGTTTTGAAATTCATGTTGGGTGACTTTCTACAGCCAGTTTTAACGTCTAGAACTGTGTGCAAAACCTCCCATTTCCCCATTTATTTGTCATGATTGTAGACATTTTTAAAACTAACTGTGACGATTGCATTTATAAATCTCAAAACATATTGTGGGCTACGGCCATATCCCCCTAAAAGCTGTTTACTGACTTTCTAAAGCCATTATTAATGTCTATATGTGTCCAAATGTCCACAAACCTCCCATTTCACCTGTTATTTGTCTTTGTCATGCTAGACATTACATTAGTCATAGTAGACATTTTAAAAATCAAACTATGACGAACTTGCATTCATGAATTTCAAAACATAGGCCTACTGTAGACTACGAAGCCATATCTCCTAAAAGCAGTTTGGTGACTTTATAAAGCCATTTCTAACGGCTAGAAGTGTACCCACTTGTCCTAAAACCTTCCATTTTACCTGTTAGGCTATATTTCATGCAAGTAAGTAGACACGTTTTTTAACCCTACGTTTTTCTCCATTTCATAGATCTGTCACAATATGTATATTATCGAATTCAGTAATAGCATTGAATATATAAACTTTAACACTAGTGTTTACATATAGTCAATGGTAATAGGCAACTGGTGCTACCGGTGATGGCTGATTGATGCCTGTGTAAAGTTAGTGGCTAGCAGACAATTTGACAACTAACTAACTATGAAACATCAGGAAATCAGCTGTTTCCCCGTCCTCACTCGCGCCTTCGGCGCTAGCCTTTGCCCTAGCATGTCAATAGCTGACTGTTCTAAAAGATGGATGATGCGTACAACTTTCCATAGCATAATATTGTTTTATTCGTTGTGTTATTGTCCACAAAGTTTATCTATGTGGAACTTAATACTACTCCTGCCATCACTTATTAAGTTTAATAAAAATTACATTGATGTCTGTTTAATGACATTGCGTGTTTTAAGGACGAAATGTACGTTTAAATTTATTTTTCCAGGGCCAAGGGGGGGGGCTTTAGCCCCTGTAGGCCCCCCCTTGGAACCGCCACTGCCTTTTAGTAACAAATTATTAAGTGGTCCAGTAAGGTCGACCTATATGTTTAAGATCCTACTGTGTAATTGGCTAGACCCAAAAATATTTTACGCTATCCTGGAAAAAATTAGATACATTTATCTTTATTTAACTTGCTAGGACGACTTGATCAAAGCTGCGTGTTGCTCCCGCCCGTGTGGCCAGGGACAGAGCGTGAAAACAAGCTTCAAAAATGCACCCCAGTCCATCCTTCTGCGGGCCCGCGGCGGGTGATTTTGCAGACGCGCCTTATTATCTGCGTGAAAACACACTCCGTGTGGCATACCTCATTACATTTAATGCTGCCCATATTTCTCGCGTTTTTTCACGCTGCGTTCTTGCGTGAAAAAACGCCCGTAAGGCCGTAGCCTTAACCTCCGCAAACACCTTGAGATCATCAGCAAACGCGAGACATCCAACCTCGATTGAAGCCACCAGATCGTTGATGAACAAATTAAATAGGTAGGGTCCCAAATGTGAGCATTATTTGTGGTACACCCGAGGTCTGGCTATAATATTAAAAAAAAAACACACACACACTAATTTTGTAGTTTCCTTGTAGCAGCAAACCTAGGTACTCGTTAATTCTTATGTTATTTAAATAGATTTGATTAAAAATCAGTTCAGACAGAAGCGACGTAGATTTTCCTGTAAAACACTTTTTGCTAACTATAAAATTCTTACTTTTCCGTCAATCTATATCTTAAACTGTCTCGTATTTGTTAAGAAAAATATCAACCTTTTTCAAAATCAGTCTCGCTCTATCTCCAATGGTTTGAGAAGCCGGTCCGATTTGGACATTCCAAAGCACAAAACTGCTTTTTTTGAAAATCATTTATTTTACAATGGCATTCAACTGTTCAACGCACTGCCCGCTCCCCTGAAGGTGGAAAATAGTGTGGACAAATTTGGCAAAGGGGTGAAGAGAGTCTTCTTTTGTCACGCTGTTGTTACAGTGTAGAAGACTTTTTAAGAAATTAATGATTTTTAGTTTTTAGATTTTTTCCATGAGAATTATTGTTTTTATTTGTAAGAGAAATTTTGTTGACGCTATTATGTAGTTTATAACGACTGTCAAAAATAAAGATATTTGAGTTTGAGTTTGACAAACGGAAATTCGCTTAGTCGGCAGGTTTTCTGCGGCGGGGTTATATTAATTATTTTATGTTATTACAACAATTAAATTTAGAAGTATTTTAAGAAATAATGTGTTCATATCGAGTGTTGAAATAGATAATATTATTGTGTAAGAAATAGAGACAGTATATTTTATGTTGCTTATATAGTACCATGATAGGTTACTATACCAGAAACCATTCATATTGAGGAGAAACCCACCCTGTTTCCGGTCTTGAGTCCAGGTCAGTTCTGTTCACATTTCTCTCTGCCCATTTCTTCATCCGGCGTCAGCAGAGCAACATCGTCCACGTCCAGTTCCTTCCTTCTCACCTTCAACATCATGGATGGTAAGCATGCGTTTACTTCATCTGGTTTTATCCGCTTCCATCCTTCAATCTATTCCAGCTTTATTATAACTTAAGTTTCTACGTTAACTATTATGGTTTTCTGCTATTTAAATGAACACTTTAAGCTCTGTCGAACCACATTTTTGATCGCATTTTTACAACGCCACTTAGGCAAACATTTGTCTTCATTACTAAAATGCGATCAACAAGTTACTTTTGATCAAGTTGAGTTAGTTATTACAACGGACTAAATTCTAGCTTTTATATAATTTAACTTATTTTACATCTCTTCTTACACAAATCGGAGCTTTTGTGATTTAGGCTATGTTTTGAAACACACTTGTTATAAAGTTATGCTTACCGTAGCCTACTCTCAGACATCCAACACCCTAGAAGCTTTAAGTGAAGTTTAATTAGTTATTATTATAACTTAGTAGGCCTATATTTATTATGACTAAGTATATTTTAAAAGAAACTTTTACAAAGTTATTTGATGAGTAAAAACTTGGAGACTGCTCTTTGTAGGCTAAGTAAGCTGCTAGGTTGACTCACGTCCCGGCCTTTTCTAAAGGACCATGTGCTTTTTAACCGATCAAAACTAACAGTCCTAACCTACCCTTACTTGCTCATTGTGCCATAATTTTATCATAATTCTAATATCCTAAGTTAGGGGGTACAGTTTCTTAACTGGGCTACGCTAAGTTAATAAATATCGATTGAAACTAACACTTATCGATTTGATTAAACTTTGTAGCCTAGTAACCTAACCTAAGTTAACCAACCTAACTTGCTGATGGTGAAGAAATCTCATGAAGGTTAGTTTCAATCGATTTTAGCGTAATAGCCCAGTTAATGTAAGAAACTGTACGGTATCCTAACTTAAGCTAGGTAAGTTAGGCGACGTAAGATAATCAAATAAAGTTAGTTGGAATTGAACTTATGCAATGGATTTAGGCCTAAAATAAAGTTATTCTTCAGTAAATTTGTTTTTAAAACGTTGAGTGCGGCCTGCTTTAACTTATTTGATATTGTAGCATCTGGCACGCACATTGGACAATGTAAGGCTTAAACCACGACACAATTTAACATTATCTTATCTTAAGCTTAAAGTTTCGGTTCAGTGTGAGCTCAGTCATGCCACAGTAAACATACTTACTGTAAAACCCAGAATGCTAACCACATGGTAAAAAGCAATTTAACACTTTTTACCATGCGGTTGGCATTCTGGGTTATAGTAGGCCTATGTTTTCTGTGGTCATGCACAGGTTACGTTGTGCTGCTTCCTGCTAATTGTACCAGTTTAACACGTTGTATACGGCTGTTCCGGATTGAGTACGATGCTCGGCGTCTGTAGGGTGCGTCCGTTGCCGATCGGGAGCGCTGGGCAATGTCAAATTCATGTTTTTGCTCTAGCGTTGGTCGAATGGGGACCTTAACCATGTTATATAGTGTAGTGACTTACTTTTTGTTGTGGTGTAGGTTGGTAAGTTAGTAAATTTCCCCCGCAAAATCACTAACTGGCAAGCACAATAATCAAATTGTTGTCCCGTCTTTCTCCCTCCAATTGGCAATACAATAGGGCATGGGGCGTTCCAAGCAGTGCTGCTATCTGTGGTTTTTAAATAGCAAACTACGTTGACTCGTCATGAAACAGGACATCACTGGTTATTTGCTAGGCCTATATCGGATTGAAATTCGAAAGCCAATTGCCCGGCAATGGGGTTTGTTAGACGTTGCAGGCTGCGCCTCACTGGGGCTACGCCTGCCAATTTATGGGCTGTAGCGAACTTGTTAACAACTTCAATCCAATAACTGATAGGCTTAAGCACAGTTTGTTTTTATATCTGACAATTTTTTTGGTGGTGGGGACTGTTCCAAATATAGTGAAGTGTAACTTTAAGGCTTGGATTTAGTGAAATGGAACAGAATTACGAAAATTAAGTTAGGCCTACTGTAGTGTAGCATTGTGGAAGGAACCTGAACTCAAAATTGTGCTTCACACCTTTGTTGCATCTCTTGATGGGGTATCCGGGTCTTTGCCCCTACTTCTCCCCTCCATTTGGCAAAACTGAGGGCCTAAGTTACAAGCAGTTTTGTTTTGTGCTGTTATAGGGTTATTGTAAAACAGACTGTCAGTACATTTTACAATATACCTCTCCTTACTGGAACCCAGAGCACTAGGCTAATATTAAAGTTTTCGCACATTGAACCACGAAGCGCATTAGCCACCGGCTTATCATCATGCAACCACTGTTATATGGAGAAGATAATATCTTATAGGCTTGAGACAGATTTTATCCAAACCTACACATTTCTATTAGGTTAATTTTCAGTGTCCGGAGTCATTAATAATAATACAGTAGACTCCATCTTACCCAGATACCTTTTAACTGGACTAAACTTACACTCGGTGGAAATGACATCTCTTTAACCGGACAATTTTTATCAGAACATTGGTTTAACTGGACTAGATCGGCAGAAAGTGGGCGGTACTTAAATAACTGTTCTCGTGGGAAAGATTTGAGACCAGTGTGTCTAACAATGCGCTCCTAAATTTAAGTTAAGTATTTGGGTTACTGTATACAGTATGCATTTAAAGGGTCCATTTTAACGTGTTTTTGGGGACGTCGGTTTAACTGGAAAGACCGTTATCCAGACTGGCCTCAATCCTGAGGAGTCCGGACAAACTTAACTTATGGCTTACTGTATATCTTTCCTTGGCGCAGGTTAACTTTGTAAACACTAACTTACTGTTTGGTAATAAGTTTGATCATAAATTAAGTAGGCTATTCACCAACTAAGCCTAAACCTAAACTTTGCCTTACCAAATCAAACCTACCTGCACAGGACTTCAGGTGTGATCCTGAATTTCTATTAGAAACGAACTTAACAATTCATGCCTTTCCTGACAGACTAAGGATTTTGCTCTTATCAGTTTGGTTAGGATTGATCAGATTTGTGCCAATTTTGTAATTGGTGAGCCTGTGCTAAAGAGAAAAATGCCTTGAACGTGAGGTAGGCCGACTACGCCTACACGTTTTAGGCCGTTTTCTCTTAAGTTAGGCTAATTCTCAGCAATTGTTTTTCCCCTCCACCCAATAACCTTAATCCCCTAGATAGTATAGTAAAATCTCACTTCCCGGCTACTGGAAGTCTGTGTAGGGCCTAACTCAAATAGGGGTAGGTGGCACATCTAGGTGGCGCTTGCTAACCTAAGTTAATGAGTTGCTCTTCTTTCAAGCATTTTTTTTTTTTTCAGAAGTTTTAATTGTTGGATTATTATAGGCTAAATACTTGTAGCCTAAGTAAGTTAATAAACGTGTTTGTAAATAGTAATTTACGGTTACATGTAATTGTTATGTATTACATATTTTAACCCATTACAATTTAAATGTTAATTCAAGAAATTAACTAGCCTAACTTAAACAAGACTACCGATAACTTGATATGGGAAGTTTATGATGATTGCTCTAGTCTCGTTCGTATGAAACAAATGATTTTGTAGCTATTCTGAAAACTTCCTTTTTTCTACAAACCTATAAAAATTTCAGAAGAACTTTTGAATTTTTTACCTTTTTATTGCCATCTTCATTGTAGCCTAACTTAGTGTAGGCCTATTTAATTTAAAGTCGAAGTCAACTTCAACCAGGTTAACAAACATTTTGCTTTGGCCAAGTCTTATTACATTTAATAATAAAATTGAACTAAGTACTAAATCTATATACAAATAGTTCAGTTGTGACACAACCCCTTTTGATGTTTAACCAAGACTAGCAGCAAAGTCCCAGACTCAACGATTTAAGATGTTCTGCCAGTTGATCTTATTATAGATTAATCCTTCTGAATTAACTTGGGTAGGCCTAAATATTTTAGAGCTAGCCCTAGTCCATATCTCCAATGATGAAAAAACTTTCAGAGCACTGGACGATGATTACTCTGTGATTACCTTTGACAACCTGAGGAGATGCGACTTTGCTTGGATATGATTATAAAACCTTAAAACCTTCTTGAGTGTAAGGCCTAATATGATTTTTAAAAAATATGGACAATAAGCATTGATTGATATCTGATTATTGTTTTTTCCAAGATTGGACAGAGGGTGTGCAGTTTGATCGTGAGCGTAGGTTAGTAAGCGTTTTGATGGTTTGAACACACATTATTGACATTACGTTCTTCTTCGCATGTGTTGCGCTGACTTACAGCCAATTCGGACATGTGTGTTAGTAATTTTGTGATGTAGGGAGGTAAATAAGATGCTCGTTGAGTCGCCAGACAAGTCAAACAACAATTTGACGGATGGACATTTTTTGCATGGCACATTGCAATAAAAGGACGGTGTGGGATCAGTTTTGAGTTTACATTTTTCAGACTTAAATAATTTTCAAACTAACTGAGCATAAACTTAAAGATTTAGTATCTTAGTCTTTGTTCTTATATGAAAAAGGAATGAACCAAATGATGACAAAACCTATTTTCCTGAAAACCTATGAGGGGAAATCAAGCTCAACAGGTCTGAAGGTTCACTTCCATTATTAAGACTAAAATCTTTAATGCATAGTTTGTGTAAGTTACGTCCTTAAGTGTAGCCTACCCTACAGAATGGGTCACCGGAATTTTATCCCCTGGGCAAAGCTGATGTCACTGTGACATAGTAACCTGAGCGCTATAAAGTTTGTTCACAGGCGGAATTTTACCCCGCGGATTTGGGAGTCTAATCAAAATAGGCAGAGCGTGATATATTAGATTAGCAATAAAACCCAGAATTTTACCCTCTGTCCACATAATTAGCGATTGGTCAACTGTAGATGTACGGCCCGGATTTTTACCCCCTGTACAGATTTAGAAATTAGTGTGATTTTATAATTGTTTTTTCTGATTTCAGTTTGTTGTTGAATAGTAAACATTATAGGCCTAATATCCTATTTTAGTAGCCTATCATTTGTAATCTCAACTACCTAAGTAAACATGTTTCGCTGTTTAATTTTTTTATTATAGTTTCGGGATTTGACTGTTGGACCAATTGATAGTCATGTAGGCCTACCTAAATAAACTAACTGAGTATAGCCCATTATTTGAATGATAATGTGAACATTTCTTAAACGATCATTTTATACAACTGTGGAAAAACTATTTATTTTGAAGAATTCTATAGGTATCTGGCCAGGGAGTAAAGCCCTTGGAGTCGTTAACCCTCCTCCCCTGCCATCCCTGCAAGTGCGTTGTTAGTTAACTTTTGATTCTTCAACCCACTTAAGAATTTTATAAATTAGCCACACAGAAAACAAATAATTGCGCTCTTCTTAGCATGTGTTGCGCTAACTTACAGCAAATTCGGACATGTGTGGAGATGTGCGTGTGCTGCGATCAATGATGACAAACTGGCAACCTGCAATATTTTAGGATGGCATACAAACTAACTTATTCTTAGTCACATCCTGTGGAGATAAGCATCGCCGAGCCTGGGGGTGGAAATGCTGGGATTCCTAGAAAGTGGCGGTTAATCCGAACTGCTCTCAAAGCAAGGCCGGTTAATTCAAACAGTAATATTTTATAGATAATCCGATTATCGGTTAATGCAAGGTTAGTTGGGGTCTACTGTATTTGTATCAATATTAGCTATAAAATAATTCTATCAAACTAAAAGCCCTTCTTCAAAAATGCCATTGCATAGCCTTGGTGAGACCTTATTACAAGCAAGTATTTAATGTCAAATATTTTGTTTTAGGACATAGAAGAAATCAATTGAGATCCGAAAACAATAAAGCAAGATCATGGAGGATCTGCTTGAAATTATTCAGTTCAAATCCTGTACAAAACATCGACATATGAGATGATGTAAGTTACCTATTGTACACGTTAAAAAACTGTGCTTTAAATAGTTATGAGCAAGAATGTAGGCTTATAATAGGCTTATTGTCAAATTTAGCCAAACAAGTAACAGCAATAGACTATGCATCAGAACAATCTTAAATACTGTGCAATAAGATCTTGATTTAGTTGTCTTATCCAAACACTAACTTAAGCTTTCATTTAATTAAAACCTTTAAGGCTAAATTAATTTTAACCAAGAATATGCTTTCAGTCATATACTTCTACAGTCTCATAAATGAATTCAGAGATATGATGATACTATTTATTATGAAAATTCTATGATTAAGCAATCATATATAAGCCAAAAGGATTCTGATCTCTGAATGATAATTCTTTTATTAAAATAGTATTTTCTAGACAACTAATTTAAGACCATAGTTCGACAAATATAGACCCTGTCTTTGACTAACAGCTTAGTAAAATACTTTCTTCATTTGTCTCTGTGTAACTTGGAACACTGAAATAATTGTTAGGCTACAGTGAATTAGAAGGATCAAAGTTCATGTTTAATTAAGTCTCACTAAACACCCCACTCTATTAAGCCGGCTGTGAAGGATGGTACCTTTGTCAGTGGTTAAGACTGGGAACAGTAACGCTCTCAAAGTGTAAAGTGGCCGAGGTATCTTGGTAACTTAAGGGAAGAGAGCTACATTTGGTTCAAAACAGTGCAGTGTTACTTGTTTAGTCCTTCCGTTTTAATTTATTTAATTGTTACCAATAAACCAAAAATGGTCAGCGTATCTTGTCTTTTGTTGGTAAAATTGTAAGGCAAACACATGATGATAATATTTAAGTCATGCCAGACTGGAGTTTCTGATTCTAGTGATTATTTAAACTATCTGAAGTTTGCCATACTTTGTGTCAAAAGTTTAAGAGTTCATGAACATTCGAAGGACTGGTATACCATCTTTTGGGTTGATTCATTTTTTATAATTAGTTCAGTACGGTAATCTAAACATTTTAACCATTTTCACTTCCCCTACTAAAATTGTGTTTAATCATATTGTGGTGTTAAGGTTTTCAACACTAATGCAATAAAGCATCAGTGTAGAGTCTTTGTCATAAGGTTCATAGTTATGAACCTTATAGGTGTATCAGTCATAGTCTTTGTCATAATCTTAGTTAGTAGTTGACATAGGCCTACTTGTCTTTTTGGTACAACGGGCAAACGTGTGATGATACTACTAAGTCATGCCAGACTGGAGTTTCTGATCCTAGTGATTATTTCAACTATCTGAAGTTTGCAATAACTCAAGAGTAGTGTATTTGTTTGGTAGAAGGTGGTATAGTTTGGGTTTTTAATGGAAGCCTCTACTTAATATGTTCAGCACCAAAACCACAGATTTATAGGGCTTTTTAAGAATGCAACTTTCTGATCCACCATTAAATAATAATAAACTACTAACAGTAGGAATTCTTCATTACCTTGAGAGTTTGTAGCTTAAATCCCAAACCATTGTCCCCACTGGAGTCATCGGCTCTTACAGTGTGCAGAGTTTGGGTACATGATTGCACTCTTGTGTAAGGATACATGGAATGTTCCTATAACCTAAGGAAAGAGTGCAACATTGACGATAATGTATTCATACAGTAAATGTAAATTGCTTTAAGTTGTGTCAAAGATTTGTTTTTTTTTTTCAGTTTTGAGGTTTCGTACATAATTTTGAAGCTGCCTGACTGGACGTGGTGTTAATTATGGTAAGTTTTATTCTGTTTTTGTGTTTTGTAAATAAGCTGTGAGTGAGAAAAGGGGTAAAAATGTTGTATTAATAGTTTGATTAGCCACAAAAATAATTATCTTTCTAAATATTTGTTTCTTATGGATAGGGTTTTCTATTATTTCAGATTTCTGTCACTTATTATATTTATTCCATGTTTAATTATTTAAAAGCAAACATTCAAATATGACCAATAATATGATGACTATACACCGCCCCAGACTGAATCTTGATGAGGTATGTAGCCTACTGATTGTGGTCTATATTTAAAAACCTTTTCTCTTAAAAAAAAATTGTAGCCTACTTTTATTGTTTTACTTAACTTGGGTACCGGCTGCACTGTACATGAACCTCGTGAAAACTTTAATTCAAATATCAACGATATGATGATTTTATACCGCCCCAGACTGAATCTTGATGAGGTATATTCTGATTGTGTCTAGATTTGATAAACTTTTTCTCCCAAAAAGTTTTTGGTTACTAATTGTAGCCTATTTTTTATTTGTGGTGCTAGTTAAACAACATTTCAGAACTTTCTGTCGCTTATTATATTTATTCCATGTAAGATAAGCTAACATTCAAGTATGAACAATAATATGATGAATATATACCGCCCCAGACTGAATCTTGATGAAGGTATATTCTGATTGTGTCTAGATTTGATAAACCTTTTCTCCCAAAAAGTTTTTGGGTTACTAGTTGTAGCCTACTTTGATTTTTGTTTTTTGGTGCTAGTTAAACAAAACTATCTCGCTGGTATGCTAAGATAATATCATGACAGAATTTTAGTTTAAATTAATTTTTCAGGCCGAAGTGGTAGAGCTACATCATGATAAAGAATATCATGCTCCAACCTTTTTGGGTAGGTTTTATCCTAATTTTTCACTTGTTAGTCAATATTTATATTCTCTAAAATTGTATTTCTGATTGCACATGGAGTCGATGATGAGTCATTTTTTAACCATCTTTCGGGGATGAGATTTCATGATTATGACTTAAATTACTGAGACTTGTAATCCAGTTTCATACAAATTAATCACCTTGTTCTTTTTTAAGCTTTTTGGCTACACAAACCATTATGTAAGAGGTAACCTATTTGATGATTTTGTATGATGATAACTTTGGAATTACCGTTTGATCCAAGTGAAAAATATCCTATGGCTGCTTTTAATCTGACAAAGATCATCAATTGGTTGGCTGTATTTATAATTGGTGAAATGACTAAATTTCCTCTTTGAATCAAAATGTGGAGGTCGTACTTCTGACATATCCTATTTGATGATATTTAATGATGATAACTTTGGAATTACCGTTTGATCCAAATGAAAAAATCCTATGGCTGCTTATATCTGAAAAATATCACTGTTTAAAAGTAGATTTATTGTTTTAAGTCCTACTGTTTTCTCTTCTTTCATATTCTAATATGAAAACTATTCAATTAGTTTACAACTACAATGTTCAATTAGGTACACATAGTTTTCACCAAGTGCATACATTTAGTGTTTTTTTTTTTTTTTAGTACATACATTTTTAGTTTGTTACATTTGATCTCATTGAATTTTTTTAGGATCTGGTATTACTGATATAGCAGCCCATCTTTCAAATAACTAATAAATAAATCCAATGATGATTTTAAATTGACAAGCATATGTCTGAATCAAACTGCAATGTCTAGTGATAGTCATTGTGGCTGTGATGTTAAATTTGTCTGATGGATTATTTTGTTTTTCATTTTTTATTGAAAATGATGTTGATATTAAGCAGATTGTTAACTTATCTAATTTTGCTTTACTAGCGATGTTGAGTTAAAGCGGAATGCTCCTGTTTTACCACATTTATTGATGAATTTTTGTTCCAAATGAAGATAACATAGTTCAAATGAAACTAGTGATTAAGATTTATCTTTCGCCCCTATCTGATGGAACTTAATTTTCTCAAACAACTATTTTAATAATACGAGCTGCAACCTATAAATAGCTTAACCAAATTAAATATATCTTTGTTCGTCTACAGCCTTTTCAGATTTTAGCAATAACTTAATTATTAAAGACATAGTTATGGATTAAGTTATTTCCTAATCATTTGGTTGGGCTGATAACAACTTATTTGATTAAGATAACAATACTATAAGTGGTGAAGCTTAACCAGTTATATCTGGTTCCATGTGATGATAACATAGTTCAAATGATATTCAATACATGATTATAATAACTATAACTTCTAAATCATTAATGCCAGATAACCTATTCTTTGTGTGATCTTTAAGACTGTGTGTGGTATTGACCTAAAAAGTAATATCTTTTGTTGAGTTACATGAAACATTAGATTTGCTAGACGGATTAATATTATAGCCTATACCTATCTGAGAATTGTGCTTTAAAGGGGTTTTTCTTGCAGGTATGAAGATGTTCAGACTAAGAATGGATTCTCAAAATCAAAAGTAAGTGGTTTATATATATATATTTTTTTCATTCAGTTGATTTATCTTTGATTTTGGAGATAGGCTGATTTGCTAGCGATTCATTCAGAGATTAAATTTGATCTTTATCAATTGCCCAGTCATGATGAATTGAAGGGTGTGTCAAAGCAAAGACTGCCACTAACATTTTGGAGCCAGAAATGGTGGAACCCACCGAAATGGGCAGGATTTGTGTGCTGAAACTTGCCTACCCGGTTGTCTGAACTGGTGGAAGATCCTATAGTAACTTTGTGAATTTTTTAATTTTCCCCCCTGTGTAGGGTATCATTCCAAGTAGGCCTAATTCTTTAATTTTTCAAACTTTCTAGATTTTTTGTTTATTAAGATTATTTATTTTGTTCCTTTAGCTACTAATCGAGATTCAAGATGTAATGCACATCAGTCCAGAAGCTACAAATCTCTGGAAGGAAATGGCTACATGATCATCATGGGGGACCAGTGTGCCAAGGACTATGCTTTCGTAAGGTTGGTAATTGAATTTACATTTTGTGATTTTATTAAATAATAGATGCTTACTTTCAGTCTAGCTAGATTGGAAATAATACAATAAATTGCTATCGCAGAAGGTTATTAGGCTTGTAGTGTGTCGGGTGATAGTCGTGGGCCCATTCCTGAGAGCGCCGAAATTTAGAGGCTGGTATTAAGATGGACGTAGAACCAATGTTAAAACGCTGGATCGTTCCACTTGGTTTTCAAACCCCAATGGCTGAATTCTCTCTTGTCATCTCAGTTGCTGCCAGTCGTGCGGGAGGCAGGTTTAGGGTGTAGGCTGAATCATGTCCATTGGAGGATGTTTTATCCAATGGTGGACAGTTGTAGCTAGCCAGGGAGTCATCTCACTGGTATACAAGTTTGGCCAACATTGCAGCACTGTTTCATAGTACCATGTGTCGTGATCTAACCTCGTGGCCTCCCTTCAGTGCTACATACGATAACTATTGTCAACCAGCTGATTCATAAACTTGTTGCTTCTAAATCTGTAGAGCTAAATAAAATAATATTAAAACCCTTAGGTGTGGGGCATTGTTTTCCATTTTTTAAACAATCTCATGTTAAGAAATTGCATACCGGTATTTTTTTAATTCACAAGTCAAAAGAGTGTGTTGTTGTTACAAAACAAACATTTAAGAAGTAAAAAGAAGATTCAAGAAATTGATTAACTATTTCCATAGAATGTAATTCATAAAGGTAAAAAACAAGCTAAGATATTTGTCTAAAGTAATGATAAATTGTGCTATATGATGATTTTTCATTCAGAAAAACCATGATGATTAAAAAAATTATAACCCTTCTCCAACTGATAGCACATTTTGAAATGCTAGCATATTTATATTTAAAACTGATATGAGTTTTATGAACTATTCTTTTTATTACCTAGTCACAAAGTTGTCATAGGCCTACACCGATAGTAGACTCTTTTGAGTGCTTATTTACATTTAAGATGATGTTTGCTACATACTACCAAGATCTCTGATCATTGTGATTATAACTTGTAACTGATGAACCTCCACATTAAATTTTGGTATGGTACTAGTTCTAAACAATATGATGACAGTAAATATCTGTGTTGCAGAACAAACCAGTGACCAGTTCGAACCGGAAGTCAAATAGAGGTATGTATCAATATTTGTCTTTTGGGTTTAGATTGATAATTTAAACTTAATGGCTTATTAAAACTTCAAATACTCAAGTTTGTGGTGATGATTTAATATATACGCTATGCAGACTTAACTGGTGATAGCTTGCCCTCTCTGAACAAACTTGAAAACTATCTGAGACTTACAATTTACTAATCACTTTTTAATACAACATTAGTTAAAATCCAGAACTACAGTCCCGGCCACGTAAAGAGAGAAAATGTCCAGGTAGACCCGGTCAGGCCTAATCCGCCGTTGTCAAAACATAGCTATTGTTTTGAAACCGAGGGGGCGCGCTACCCCATCCCAGCGGTCATTGCTACTGCCTCCCTTTAATTCTTAGAAATAACTCGGGCCAGTACAAATTCTATAAATCGAACGGGTGATCTCCTATAATTAAGTGACAGGTCATTTTATTCACAAAGTGAAGACGAATATCATAAAATTTGAATCGCAATTCTACGTTGCTTCGTTGGTTGGCTAGTCGATGTTGAGAAGCAGCAGGCAATGACCGCTGGGATGGGGTAGCGCGCCCCCTCGGTTTCAAAACAATAGCTATGTTTTGACAACGGCGGATTAGGCCTGACCGGGTCTACCTGGACATTTTCTCTCTTTACGTGGCCGGGACTGTACATTACCTACATAAATTACTTGGTTTTTCCTGTTCATTGATGAAACAACTCTAACAGTATTTGGGTAAAAATGTATATTACGTTTTTTTAAAAGTCAGTAATTAACTTTTAAAATCAGTAATTTTAACTTAAAAACAAATGTTCTTTGTGTGTAATTAGAGCTGAGTCTAAAACTCTCAAGGTTAAACCACAAGTGATGATGAAAGTTATCCCTGTCAGAATCCAGTTGTTGATATCTGTAACTCCTGATGTGGTATTGAGAAACATTATGTAACTCGATAAATTTAAATCAATTGTGTTTTTTGCCCTGTTAACTCCATTCTGTAAAGAAGAGCATTTAATAAGATAACAATTTATACCTAATCAGTTATTTCCAAACAGTGTTAGTTGGAAATTTGTTGGAAATTTACTTTCATGTTTTGGTGAGCTTAAAATTTAAACCTCTATTGATTGTTCCAATAAAAGCGTATTCTAAACCACATAAAGATCAGTTTTGGTCTTTGTGTCAAAGTTTTACGCAATATAATTGTGTGAAATCCAAAGGTTTCAGATGTTTCTGTATTCCTATTTCACCTCACACACATTTCTTTATTCTATCATTTATCCATTGACTAGGGATTATTGAATGAATGTACACCTTCATTTTTATCTTGCTTCCTCCCACAATAAATAACCATAAAAACTGGTTTCCCAAGGATTTTAAATGTCAAGTTTTGAACTGTTAAGTGTTGAATGATGTTAATGAGATTTCCGATGCCACAATGTGGACTATTGCACACCACTACCCATTATTCTGACGACACTTCCAAAACTCAGTCATTTAAAAAAGGTGTCCATGCATTCAGTATTTTATTTAAATTTATTGGGAGTTTTTGTTTAGTATCCGCCCTAAGTAAATAAATAAATATAATAGTATCCTTGAAGAATTTAAATTGACTTTTGTTTGACTGCCTACTGAAAGTGTCATATGATGTTAAACCAGATTTCTGATGCCACAATGGGGACTATTGCACACCACTACCCATTATTCTGATGACACTACTTGAATTTACCCTCCCTCTAAATTTATATTAATTTGTAATTATAATCAGTAGAACTGAGTGTTATGATAGCAAATTGAGAATTTCGTGGATGGATTGTTTGAAAGATAAGCTTCTGCCTTGGGAAAATGTGTTGTACAGCCCTAGTTTATATCGGACACATTTTAAATGTAACTTGGTTAAAATCTTTGCCCGTTCTCTTGTACTAAAACTTGTGTCGCCTCTATGCCAGTTTCTCAGCGATGATGTATATACCTTACATTATTCTATCCCTGATGTGTTTTGATGACAGAAACAGCTGAGCTGGAAACTTGGGTTCACCGGTTATTTAAATCCTCTGAGTTATTTTTTAATGTGCTTCAAGATGATCATCAATCCAATATTTCGAATATTTTGCTTTTGACAGGGGATACTCTAATCTTCTTTCTCTGTTTTGACTGGTTTTTTAGTGATTGTTTCTTAGCGATGATGCAATTAATATACGCTATGATTGGCAATGATTTCAATCCTTACCTACACTGAGCTAAGAAACAAGTTACTTTAAATGTTAATGGCTTTCCAAAACTTAGTATAATGATACTTAATTTGGGTTTTTTTCTGTTTCAGGCAAGAGCTGTTGAGAAGACATAGAGGTCTGTTTGTATCTAGATACTTTCAAAGTGTTAACCATCATTGTTGAATACATGCTTAAAAATAATAAAAAAAGCTGTCATGAATTCTTTGTTGTTTTTAGAAATACCCTTTCTAATTAGAATAGTGATGTAAAATGGCTGACTTTTAGCTCAATTTTAATAAATGAATAAGAACGTTTAAACATAATTTTGATGACTTATATATTTGGTTTTGTTTGGATGGAAATAGTCTGAATTATTAAGTGGTAGCTGATGAAATGCTCCCTCCTGTCCAAAGGTATCTAAGTAGGCAGGTACTATTCCCTTGACCCTTTGGGAGGATCAATTATTCTGAAAATGTGAGTGGCAGTATTATAATATACTAGTGCACCTGTTGCTCGAATTCGAGCAATTGCATAGTATTAGAGGTGTTATTTCAAAACGAATAACAGTCATAATTATTTCTGATGACTTAAAAAAAGAGTAGACTCAAAGATAATGTAATCAATCACTCCATTGCAGTTATCGAAACAGAAAAATTATGATCTTGTGTGTATCATGTGTTAACTATGAACAGCTGTAATTAATACAAATTATTTAAGTAAACAAAATCATTTTTCCATAAGAAATACATAGGGATCTTGTTGGCCTGCGAGGCAAAGCCCGAGGACTTTTATTACAGGAATTGGTGAAAGGGGGTGTCTACACAAAAAATACTTAATTTTGATACGACGTTTGTAAAAATCCGTCTATTATTAAGGGATGAGTAGTGTTGTAAAAATCGCCTTCACGTATTATATATAAGGATAGCCTAATATCATTGACTTCCAATGTAATGCAAACATTCAAAGCTGAGAAAAAAGATTCAATTTCAGTACAACCTCACCAGAGGGTACTAGTGTATTGAGGTAAATATTCAAAATCATTGTTTATGATTAGTTGGTTAGATTTGGTTAAAGGAGGTTTTAAATTATTGAAAACGGGATAGAACCATTTAGAACTAAATCACCCGATTGTATTGCCATATAAAGAATATTTCATTAAACAATCATCATCACAATCAAATTTTGATTGTTATTGTTTTCATAAATTTTTTTAAATGGTGAAATGGAGTTAGCAATCTGGGTGACTTCAGCTTATGACGGTAATAGCACACCTATGTTTTCCTTCCACCATGACATAGAAGTCTAACTTGGAGAATAATAAACTAACTAATGATGTAATTTTTGCGATTAAGCACTTGTAATTGCATATTAATATACATTGCACGCTTGAGGGAAGTTGCTACCGGTACTGAAAGTAACAAATCTCGTAAAAAGCTTTATTAAATTTTTTTTCATTGGTATAAAGAGTTTCAGAAAAACACTGAGTTCGTCACATCTACGAAAATCAATTAGCCGTACTAATTAGGGTTGACAGTCTACCTGCCCCGCCAGGTATATCATGCATCATGCCTCCTCTACCTAAACGGGAACAAAAGCTACTAGTCACAAGAGAACGGTCAAATACCATTCTGAATCTTAGGCTCTGTGTTTACTGATGTTGGTTCCTCATGTAGCTGAAAATTATGAACTAACTCGTGCTGTATTAATGGCAAAATTGAAGTCAAACTATTATTACCATTGACTATTGAATACTGAAGTAGATGTCGCATCTATACAGGGTGTTTTTTTTTTAAACTTGCATCTTTATTTATTTAAAAACCGCAATAGATAGAAATATGCAGTTACCCCTTGTGACATATCAAATGAAAGAGCATGAAAAAAGAAAAGTTTTGGTGAAAAAATATTTAAAATCGGCTAATGAATTTGTGAGATAATCCCCCCCTTTTCCCCTACCCATAACTTGTTTTTTAATAGCAAGGTACCCGCCCTTGTGACATATCAAATGAAAAATAAATTTCACCAAACATTTTCTTTTTTCATGCTCTTTCATTTGATATGTCACAAGGGGTACCTTGCTATAAAAAAAAATTAAGTTCCGGGGAGGGGGAGGGGGAAATATTTCGCAAATTTATGAACCGATTTTCAATGTTTTTTCATCAAACATTTTCTTTTTTCATGCTCTTTTATTTGATATGTCACAAGGGGTACCTTGCTATTTAAAAAAATTAAGTTGGTGGCAGGGGGGAAAGGGGGGGAATGTGAATGTAACATAGAATTCAAAACAATTGGGCCCCCTACGTCAATAGATGATTCCCGCAAACTGCATATTTCTATCAATTGCGGTTTTTACATAAATAAAGATGCAAGTTTTTAAAAAAACACCCTGTATGGAACAGCTGTAGCCAATTTTATTTCTTAAAAAAAGAACATAGTTTTGTGAGCCAGTCTCAGAACGTACTAGTGACTAAAACTTTGTTTTCTACCTTTTTTTGTTGCTGGCCAAGTTGTTGGGGCATAACAGTTGCTAAAGATCACAAAGTCCCCCTAAATTGCGGATGTGGGGTTGTCTCGTCCCGACTGTCTGTGCTGTGCCGCACTAGTGCGCGGGTAGTGTTAGATGGTGTGAATCTGAACGGATGGTGTTTTTTTCCTCTTAATTGGGACATTAAAATTAGCCAGCTAAGCGGGGCTCGGTCTAAGTCTTACCATGAGACCTATGGTAAAAATAACTAGTTATTCCCTATATGAAAAATTTGCTTTTAAAATATATCAAATCAAATCAGTTTTATTTCCACAATATATAAAAAATTTACAATTAAAAAAAAAAATACAAATATATCCTATACTCTAATACGAGCAATGTTTGCTTGTATGCTTACTTGCTTGCTTGCTTCCAGAAAAATCTCGAAAACGGCTCCGACGATTTTCTTCAAATCTTGTAAATAGTTTGTTTATTTTTGGCCTAAAAACGAGTTTCATGCCGTTAGAACTGCCAACAAAAATCTAATTACGTAGAAAAACGAAACTGAAAGTCACATGTTTTTAACATTAGTCTTATGGGTTGCTTAGTACCGTGACCATGTTGGTTGAATTGAATAACATGGAAAATGTAAACAAAAGACTTGTAAGTAGTCTATCCACAGTATTTTAGCAATTACAAAATACAGTACAAAAGGAAAAACATCAGTTGTTACTATTGAGCAAAGATTATACTGAAGATTACTCGATACATAGTAGCAGGACTTTTTTTAATCTATGATTGTAGTAAAGGATAGCAGTGTGGAGTGTGGGAACTGTTTATGACGATTAGATTAAGGTATCTGCAATCCTAAAATGCAATGGAAAGGTAGGGCAACAGGTCCGCGACGTAGGCAGGGCCGATTTACCGAATAGGCACGGTAGGCACGTGCCTAGGGCGCGAGACAATTGGCTTTTTTTGGGGGCGCCAAAAATTTGGAAATTGAAAAAAAATCGTGGTAGTATTTGCATTCTATCGTGGTAAAATTCTGATAACCCCTCGCGGCCGTGTAGGCATCGTAATCGTCTCCCACGTTTGTGGCAAGATTCTTACTATTTTCTGCAGTCAGGTCGTTTGGACATAAAATTATCGTCTTCCATGATCGGGGCAATATATGAACATATCCCGCGGTCGTGAGGAGATTATCATCGTCTACCGCAAATGAGGCAAAATTCTGATATTTTCCCCCGGTCGTGGGGACATTATCCTCGTCTTGCGCGATCGCGGTCAAATTCTGACCACTCCTCGCGGTCGTGAAGACATCATATCGTCCCCCACGGTCGTGTGGACATAGTAATCACCTCCCGCGATTGTGGAAAAACGGTAATCATCTCCCTCAGTCTTGTGGATGTCATCATCCTCTTACGCAAATTAGGCAACATTTTGACCTTTTCCCGCGATCGTGTGGCCATAATCATCGTCTTGCGCGATTGTCACCCCTCGCGGTCTCGGAGACATCATTATAAATTGTCCCGTTGGTCGTTTGGACATGTAGTGATCGCCTCCCGCGATTGCGGCAAAATGGTAATCATCTCCCGCGGACATATGGAGATAATCGTCTTTGGCGAATGAGGCAAAATTCTGATCTTTTCCCGCGGTCATGTGGACATTATCATCGTCTTGAGCGATTATTGTGATCATCCCTCGTGGCCGTGTAGAAATCATTATTGTATTCCGCGGTTCTGTAGACATCGTAATCGTTTCCCGCAGTTGTGAAGACATCGTAATCGTCTCCCGCGATTGAGGTAAAATGTTAATAATGTCCTCCAGTTGTGTGGAGATCATCGTTCTACGATCTCGGCAGAATTCTTGCTGTTTCTCGCGGTCGTGTGGACATTAACATCGTCTTCCGTGATCGCGGCAATACTCTGATTTTCCGTTGCGGCTCCGTTGCATCATCGTCTTCTGCGATCGCGGAAAATTCTGAACATCCCTCGCGGCCGTGTGTAGACATGTTGTCGTCTCCCGCGATCACGGAAACGTCACTTTTGTCATGCGTGATCACGGTAAATTGAAAATTCCAGGTAGAAATACAAAATTCACGGTTCAAAAATCTCCCGCACGATTCTCGGATTTCCCGGTCGGTGGACACCCTGTTATATATATATTGCAAAGGGGCGCTACTATTAGATGTGCCTAGGGCGCTGACAGGGTCAAAAACGGGCCTGGACGTAGGAAGTGGTGAAGGAAGTAGTAAAGGCAAGCAGTCCGGAGTGTGGGAACTGTATAATATGACAATTAGATTAAGGTATCTGCAAACCTAAAATGCCGTGGGAAGGGAGGGAAACAGGTCGTCGACGTAGGAAGTGGTGAGGGAAGTAGTCAAGGCGTGCTGTCAGGAGAGTGGGAACTGTTTATGACGATTAGATTAAGGTATCTGCAATCCTAAAATGCTATGGGACTGGAGGGAAACAGGTCCATGACGTAGGAAGTGGTGAAGGAAGTAGTCAAGGCAAGCTGGCCGGAGTGTGGGATCTATTAATGAAGATTACATTAAGGTATCTACAATCTTAAAATGATATGGGAAGGAAGGGAAACAGGTCCGTGACGTAGGAAGTGGTGAAGGAAGTAGTAAAGGCAAGCAGGCCGGAGTGTGGGAACTGTTTATGACGATTAGATTAAGGTATCTGCAAACCTAAAATGCCGTGGGAAGGGAGGGAAACAGGTCAGTGACGTAGGAAGT